ATCCATTCAGGGGAACAACATATTCAAAAATGGCACAAATCAGACAAGGGGTTCAAAAGTTAGTAAAAAGTCCTTTGTGACTAAATGAAGCATGGCTTTCTGGCCCAACCAGTTTCAGAGTCTTCTATCCTGGAGATAAGTAATTCAATTATCTCCCAGGACAGACACAAGACTCCATTAAGCACATGGTTGCAAAAAGACACAAAACACTTTAAAATACATAAAGTCACCTTTTACACATAACACACAGATATTTCACATATCCCCAGATAGCTGGGATCTGAGCGCACAAAACTACCGAATAGCGCTCAGATCCTATTCACACAGTTCAATTGCCATGGAGCTGAAGTCTTTAACTACACGAATGGGCTCCATGGCATAGCTATCTGGGTTAACACATTCACATAAAGTCTGGTCCATAGTCCAAAGGCAAGAGGCGGGCAAGCAGCCCCTCCAAGGACACGTGGCGAGGCCGGTTTCGCCACACCCCTTTGTGCAAACGGTCCGTCATATAATTGCGGGGTGGATCGCTCCCACAGGACTACAGGACAGCTACAGGCAACACCTATTCCGTGGATTTCATAATTCTGAGGGCAACGTGATGTTCGAGTACAGCTTAATTCTGACAGCAACAGAATGGAACCAGCAGTGTCATACGAAGAGGAGGACCTGGATGGCCGGGATGCATTAAGGAAAGGCATCTGGTACCAGGCCCTGGATAATGTACAATACCAGCGGGGCGAGAGTCTCCCCAGTGAAGAGCAGCGGTTGCAGAAGCAAGTGGCCCTGTGGATGCCCTTCCTGGGAGAGCAGCCCCTGGATGAATGGGTGAAGGAATTGGAGCACCGGGTATGGCAGGAGATTTGGCTGGAAGATGCCTACCAGGCGCTCTGGTGGTATGGGGCACAGTACCTGCCCTGGACAGCCAAGCATGACAAGCCAGAGGGAGAGGAGTTTGATGGTCCTGGCTTGTTATGGGAGGCTTTTTCAGAGCCTGAATTTGGGAGCCCTACACAAGCACGGTTCAGTGATCTCTTGGAGTGGAGGGAGAGCAGGTATGACTGGGACGACACTCACGACATTGAGCAAGACCTGGCTCACCTAGCAACCCTGGAGTGGGAACTGGAGCAGGACTACCGAGATCTCTTCCACCCCATTGAGAAGATTCAGCAGGACAGCAAGGTGACAGATCCAGTTCCAGACCCATTCAGCTGGGAAGACATTGTTGATATTTTCTGGGAAGAACCCCAGGTGGCCGGTAGAGATGGGACCGAGGTCTCTCAACCGGTCCTGCAGGGAATTGGGAGCCCAGTCTCCATTCCCCAGCGGCAGTGTGATATGCCGGGAATTGGGAGCCCAGTCTCCATTCCCCAGCTGCAGTGTAAAGTGCAGGGAGAGGAGAGCAGCGTCCTCCCTCCCCAGCGGCAGGCTGAGTTACAGGGGGCAGAGGTAGTTGTTCCTGCCCTCCAGCAGCAGAGTGATATGCCGGGAAGGCAGTGTGAAGTACAGGGAGAGGAGAGCAGTGTCCTCCCTCCCCAGCGACAGGCTGAGTTACAGGGGGCAGAGGTAGTTGTTCCTGCCCCCCAGCAGCCAAGTGATATGCCGGGAAGGCAGTGTGAAGTCCAGGGAGAGGAGAGCAGTGTCCAGTTCGGGAGCTTGGTGTTCTGCAGTAGCTGTGCCTGCATCTCTGGAAAGGGGGCCGATCGCCTAAACGGTTTTTACCCCTTTTGTGCAAAACGGTCCGTTACACCATATCTGCCAAGTGACCCTATGTAGGAGAACAGTCTCTATTCTGCTCTGTGTCAGTGTGTATCATCATCTCTGAGGACAGGTGTCAATCCATATCTGCCAAGTGACCCTATGTAGGAGAACAGTCTATATTCTGCTCTGTGTCAGTGTGTATCATCATCTCTGAGGACAGGTGTCAATCCATATCTGCCAAGTGACCCTATGTAGGAGGAACAGTCTCTATTCTGTTCTGTGTCAGTGTGTATCAGGGGCTCTGAGGACAGGTGTCAATCCATATCCGCCAAGTGACCCTATGTAGGAGGAACAGTCTCTATTCTGCTCTGTGTCAGTGTGTATCATGATCTCTGAGGACAGGTGTCAATCCATATCTGCCAAGTGACCGTATGTAGGGGAACAGTCTCTATTCTGCTCTGTGTCAGTGTGTATCATGATCTCTGAGGACAGGTGTCAATCCATATCTGCCAAGTGACCCTATGTAGGGGAACAGTCTCTATTCTGCTCTGTGTCAGTGTGTATCATGGTCTCTGAGGACAGGTGTCAATCCATATCTGCCAAGTGACCCTATGTAGGGGAACAGTCCCTATTCTGCTCTGTGTCAGTGTGTATCAGGGTCTCTGAGGACAGGTGTCAATCCATATGTCAAGGTGTCAATATGTCATATGTCAGGTGTCAATCCATATCCATTGTGATTTAGGAATGTTAGGTGATTTATGCCCTTTATGGATTAAGACCAGACTCTGCATCAACTGTGTAATTTTCCATGGGAGTTTTGCCATGGATCCCCCTCCGGCATGCTACAGTCCAGGTGTTAGTCCCCTTGAAACAACTTTTCCATCACTATTGTGGCCAGAAAGAGTCCCTGTGTGTTTTAAAATTCACCTGCCCATTGAAGTTTATGACGGTTCGCCGGGTTCGCCGGTTCGCGAACATTTGCGGAAGTTCGCGTTCGCCATTCGCGAACCGAAAATTTTGTGTTCGCGACATCTCTACATAATGCTGCTCCCACCTATCTATCCTCCCTAATACACAAGTATGTCCCGTCTAGGCCCTTACTATCTGCTGAAGACGTACGTCTATCTTCTGTCCGTACTCCCACCTCTGATGCTCGCCTTCAAGACTTCTGGAGGGCTGCACCGTTCCTATGGAACTCACTTCCCTCCTCCGTTAGATGCTCACCCAGTCTCCACTCCTTCAAAAAAAACATTAAAAACCCACTTCTTCGTAAAAGCCTATCAATTAAACTGTTAATAGCTCCGAACTGATTCCTCTCTTCCAACTCTCATTAGTCTCATATTATCATTACCTTTTGTGTGACTTTACCCCACTCCTCTAGCATGTAAGTTCATTAAACAGGGCCCTCAACCCCTCTGTGCCTGTGTGTCCAACTTGTCTCGTTACAACTACATGTTTGTTCGTCCACCCACTGTAAAGCGCTGCGGAATTTCTTCGCGTTTTATAATTAATAACATAATAAAATTTGGCAGCCCTAAAAGGTACAGTACAATACAATTAGTATCAGTAGGAAGACAAATGGTACAATACAATACATAATATGACAAACAAATACAGGATTAGCAATGTAATTCTATTCTGTTAATAGTTATTGTTTTATGCATCGTTAAAGGGACGCTATAGTCACCAGTACAGGTTAATGTAATTGTTCTGTTGTCTACCAGTCCCTGCAATCATTTAATGTAAACACTGTCTGTATCAGCTCCTGTGGATCTTCTTGCAAACTATTTTTAGGAGCGTTTTTTGGGTGGTCCACACCAGCAGCATGAGGACCGCAGACATTTCCAAAATCGTCTGGCCTTCGATTTGTGTGGCTGTTTCTTTTTGGTGCCTCTGCTATCACTGTCCTGCAGGTCCGGTGTTATGGGTAGATCACTGGAGCTGGTTCTGCTCTCTATTATATCATCACAGTTAGAGCCACCGTCTTGTAGGACACTGCTGCCACTGCTTCCATTGACGTTCTCTACAGCCTGTGTTGTGGATGCATCCAGGACAATAAGGCTGTCTTTTTGCACACTGTTGATGCTGCCATTGCACTGCATGGACCCTGTTGAGGAGGAATCACTGCCGCTGCACAGGGAATTAGCAGGCATGGCCCCTGTTGAGGATTGATCACTGCAGCTGGAATTATTACACTGCACGGCTCTAGTTGAAGAGGGATCACTGCCATTGGAATTATCCTGTACGGCCCCAATTGAAGAGGGATCACTGCTGTTGCAGCTGAAATTGTTATACTGCACGGCCCCTGTTGAGGATTGATCACTGCTGCTGCTCATATCATCTGTTCTGCGACCCAGAGATGTCTATAGAGGAAGATATCATATTGTTTACTTAGATAAAAGTTCTCAATAGTCTAAACCATTAGTTAATAACCAATATGACATATTGCTAGTGTTCTTACCTCAGGGTCACGATCTTCCTCTCCCTCTTTGTCTTTGATCTGCTCTTCTTCTGTTTGACACGATATGTCCGTGCTAAGGTTTGCCTCTTTTAGCATTACCCGAGTTTTTCCAATCTATGTGTCAAACAAAATAAACTATTTTGAAATATATTTATTTAAGAAGCCTATTAAACATTTTAATGATCAACAATTAACCCTTTGTGATACTGGACTAAAATTTTAAATCATGTGAGACCTACCCTTAAGGAGGGATGGCGGAAAATTTACGTCATGTACTAAAATTAACGTCAGATTGACGCAATTGCAGAAGCAGCAAATGGCGATGTCTCAGACCATGTGATCGCAATGACAGCCAGTCACAGCAAACACAGTGGTACTTGGACATCTGATCCGCCTCCCTACATCTCATTGTGAGTTACCCTGGAGTGTCTTCGTTTACTAATAGTAAGCCTTTGTGGGGTTATTTGAAAAGTCAAACTGCTATAATGCCACTCCCTCTAACATGTAAACTCACTGAGCAGGCCCTCAATCCCTCTGTTACTGTGTCACTATACCCCACTCCCTCTAACATGTAAACTCACTGAGCAGGCCCTCAATCCCTCTGTTACTGTGTCACTATACCCACTCCCTCTAACATGTAAACTCACTGAGCAGGGCCCTCAATCCCTCTGTTACTGTGTCACTATACCCCACTCCCTCTAACATGTAAACTCACTGAGCAGGGCCCTCAATCCCTCTGTTACTGTGTCACTATACCCCACTCCCTCTAACATGTAAGCTCACTGAGCAGGCCCTCAATTCCTCTGTTACTGTGTCACTATACCCCACTCCCTCTAACATGTAAACTCACTGAGCACGGCCCTCAATCCCTCTGTTACTGTGTCACTTTACCCCACTCCCTCTAACATGTAAACTCACTGAGCAGGGCCTCAATCCCTCTGTTACTGTCACAATACCCCACTCCCTCTAACATGTAAACTCACTGAGCAGGGCCCTCAATCCCTCTGTTACTGTGTCACTATACCCCACTCCCTCTAGCATGTAAACTCACTGAGCAGGCCCTCAATCCCTCTGTTACTGTGTCACTATACCCCACTCCCTCTAACATGTAAACTCACTGAGCAGGCCCTCAATCCCTCTGTTACTGTGTCACTATAACCCACTCCCTCTAACATGTAAACTCACTGAGCAGGACCCTCAATCCCTCTGTTACTGTGTCACTATACCCCACTCCCTCTAACATGTAAACTCACTGAGCAGGGCCCTCAATCCCTTTGTTACTGTGTCACTATACCACACTCACTCTAGCATGTAAACTCACTGAGCAGGCCCTCAATCCCTCTGTTACTGTGTCACTATACCCCACTCCCTCTAACATGTAAACTCACTGAGTAGGCCCTCAATCCCTCTGTTACTGTGTCACTATACCCCACTCCCTCTAACATGTAAACTCACTGAGCAGGCCCTCAATCCCTCTGTTACTGTGTCACTATACCCCCCTCCCTCTAACATGTAAACTCACTGAGCAGGGCCTCAATCCCTCTGTTACTGTGTCACTATACCCCACTCCCTCTAACATGTAAACTCACTGA